TCTCTTTATTTCACTTGAAAAGCACTCTAGCTCAGACAGAAGATAGGCTTAAAAAGAGAACAACAACAAATTAAAGACTCTCACCAATCTTGAGATAGGTAGCAGAAAGCAAGAACCACTGATGTCAGTAGCAAAAATACCCTTTGCTTTAAAAGGCCTGATGCTTCACTTCCAGTGAAGAAGAAATCCACCTCCATTTTGGAACTCTCCTCCCTAGCCTCTACAGAGATGTGTCAAATATCTCCATTTTATTTAGCTTTAAAGGTCAGTCCTCATTGAAGACTTAATTGCAGTCACATTAAAACTTCACTAGACTTTGGGTAATTATTCAACCATTGAAATAACTATTCTTTTGCAGCATATTTTACAGCTTAAGAGACTTAACATTGAAACAGTAGGACATCCAACACTTAAGCGCAGAGAGGTTCCTGTTCAAAAGTCTATGCCACATAGCCCTGAAAAAGTTTACTAGTTTACTTATTCCCAAGTCCTTCACCTCTAACAAGGTGTCTTGTTTGAGTAAGATGCCTGAAGTAATTAAGGGATTAGTGATACCTTCAGGGCACAGCTTTATTTTGCAAAAAGCAGCCACGAGCTATACATTCTCAAAGGAGTAGGACCCTAAGTGGAATTCTTTTTTTCCCAAATACTATGGGAAATAGTTGGATTTGGGCAGAATGGATCTGGGCAGAATGGTAGTATAATGGGGCAGCCAGGGAACAAGGCCATGGCATCCTCTAACATGGCATGTACCTCCGACCATCTGTGGAGGGGCAACGTTTGTACCAGACCCTTGTTCTCAACATAGGAGAGAGAAAGAACATTCCCTCCATGCTCCCAGCTCTTTCCAGGGCACCATCCAGCCCCCGACAACTTTGGGTGTCAGTTTTACAGACATAAATAACTAAAATGATATTTTAAAATGACTTTAAATAGTTTGCTCATTTTAACAGTTGTTGAACTGAACAGAAAAAAAGTTAAGAAAGGACTGAATTCTCAACAACTTTTTACAGCTAGAGATGACTATAAATCATACAATGAACAAGTGTGCACCTGGGAGGGAATTCTGTTTTCACAACATGCAAAACTGATTAAGTGGTAGCACCTTTCCTGAACACATTTGCACACCTCATAGGGAAACACATTGTCTAATACTCTCAAACACTTCTTATGTCACCATTAACCATTAAGCATGTACAGAACTGAACAAGGAAAAAAACCCAAACAAACAAAAAAGCATCAATAAACATAACATTGTAAAACCCATAAAGACAAATGCAGTATTAAGTCGACTCTGACTTAATAAACTCTGCATGAAAAACACAAGTCAAGATTTGACTGAACTTCACGGACTTGAAGATTTATACATATATAATTTTTTAAGTGGGTACGAGGCAGTATTGCCGACAGAAACTTTAAAATAAATCCAAAATGCAGCCCTCTTATCAACTACTGGCTGGGCCACTTAGGAGAGAGCAAAGTTGGTTATTTTTCCTCCTGAAGTAGAATTCTGTAAATACCACTTGGGACTACAGGAAATTTCCTTGAAATTATAGATAATCCTTCTTACCCTGCAAGTGGAGAGAGGGGTCTTTGGGGGTAGGGGGAGAACATCTGCTTATTCCTTCTACCTCAGGAATCATCAGCGCCCATGCTGAAACACACTCTGACACACCTAAGCTGGGTCACCGACAGCAAAGATATTTCTACATAAACCAGGCAGAGCACACACATATTTTGTGCAGGGTTCTGTTCTGTTACACTGGAGCTAAGTTCCAGATACTGAATTGCTCTCTAGGCAGAACAGTCCACACTACACTCTGAAAGACTAAGATCTCAAACAGTTTTTACAGTTAATTGCTTTTTACATGGTGTAACTAGGATCAGAGCCAGATACCCAGATTAGAACTGGATGTTAACTACACATCTGTTCAATTTTTTGAATGGATCGGCTTGTGAACTGAATAAACAAGAATCCTGCTATCACATTTTCACATTTTAGAGTATTGCCAGTTTTACCTTACTTATCCTGAAGGCTCCAGTAAAGCCTCCAGGGGCCAAAGCAGGAAGGACAGACTAAAGCATCCACAAAGTGTTGTAATGCTTTGTTAAAATAAAAGCTTTAGTGTTTACAGGCGAGAAAAGGTCTTCATTTTCTGCAGGATTCCACAGCTGCCAAGATGTCTTGCAAAATGCTGTTTCTGTTTTCCTTACTAACCTAGAGAAAGAGAAATGAAAACTGATGTAATTTGATAAATAACCTCTACATCAGTGTTTACTTCAAAAACAAACAAAGCAAAAATTCAAATGCATTTCTTCCTCAGAGGAGGAATGTTGAGTGTCAAACACCTGCCTCCTGCTACTGAGAACACAATAAACTAAACCCACAAACCTGCATATGTAATTGAATATTCAGTGATCTTTTTGATTTAATTACCCAGGATATTTTGCAGTATTATTCAGGGCCTGAATAACTAACAAGAATCACTTGAAAAACCAGTGTGTACTTTTGTCATTCCTAGAAGTCCTTTTCAATTACCAAATACAATTTTCCTACTATAAAGTAGAGTTCTTATCCCTTCAGTACTTGAAAGGGTTGTATTTATTAGGATGACAGACCTAGTCAAAAACATCTGCAATGAAAAAAATTAAAACAGGCTTAGCAGTGCAACTCTGTATTCTGAGAAACCTTAGTATTGCAGAAGAAATAAGATTCTGCATAGTATTGAAGAAGAAATAAGACTACTTGAGAAAGCTGGAGGGCTTTTGTAGCACACTGAGGTACACCTTTGGTTGACCAGTCCTTGGAAATGTTGGGCTTTAGGACCAGTACATGTGAAAATCCATATAGTCCATTGTCCTCTCTATTGCTGGGCCCATCTGCATTGCAGCATCTGCAGATTACTGTAAACTGCCAAGCAAATACTAGCACTTGCTAGTCAGCTCAGCTCCCTGGTACAGCAACCACAGAGCAGAGAGCTGGGGGCATGGGTGTGTGTAAATTACCCCTTCTTGATAGACTGCGTCCTGATATAGAACCCAGTGCCACACATTACTAACTCAACCAAAACCTGGGGAGATGGCTGGGGTGGTGAAAGGGTTAACAAGCAATCGTGAAGTGTCAGCGAAAGCCTTATTGTAAAAAGCTGAAGAAATTTCCCCCACTGTTCAGATCCCTGCAGAGAGGACAGGAAGAAATCAGACAAAGACAGATGAGTCAAAAAAAAAAAAACCCAAAAAACAGTAAAGGCATTCATATTTTTAACAAAGTTTGAGAAATCTGTTTGATGAGGAAAGAGAGACACCATACTATGCATGGCATAAAACTACCAGCAAGGGTTCACTGCATTCCCTGTAGCTGCATTTAAGATCTGAGCTCAAGGTTTGTACCCCTTCCAGTACTACAGTCAATACTAAACAGGAGAAAGAAGTATTATTAACATTAATGTTAATATTATTGAATAGGTGACAGTCCTACCTGAATAATTTGGCCCTAGGAGCCTACTGCTATTTACAGTCACAGACATCTTATCCAAATGATGTAAACCAACACTGCAAAACCTGGTGGTCTTACCTACACCACTTGAATACAAGAGAGCAGATCAACATGGGACTGATGAAAAAGTGACATTAAAAAAAAAAGGGAATGAAATTACCTTTTGAAATGAAAATTGTTGCTGTTTTTATTGAGTATCATTCCAAGCTTATTATAAGATAAACAGAAAAAACCCCACAATAACAAAGAGAGCAAGACAACAAAGAATGGAATTGCTCTTCAGTAAGGCTATTGAGACCCCAAGGCAAACAAGGCACAGAGCACAGATCAGCCAAACTCTGAATCTCACAGCAAGTGTCCTGATATCCTGACTTTCAAAGGACCTTCTGAACATCTAATAGCTCTTACCACTGTCTCACAGCCAACAAAAACAATACTACATTTTATCTATCCCTTTTCCATACCTACATGCCAGAAGTCCAGTGAGAGCAGCAGACAGAAAGTGCCAAGTGCTGGGAAATTTTCACAACTATTTTACAAAGGCTGCTTGATAGATATAAGTCTCCTCTTAAGATCTGGAGCCATTCTGTGCAGGCAGCTTTCCCAGAGAGAACAAGTCTCCCAGTATCTGTACTGAACGTACAAACAGATGGGTAGATTTGTAGACAGGGAGCTGAAAATAACTGTGGATTGCTGCTTATACTACGCATTTAGGTAATTTGGAGGAAACTACCACCTAGACTCCAAGCAGGCAAAAATAGAAGACAAAAGCTTTATTCCCCTAACTGTTAAAGTACTGTCAAGGAAATCCTCTTGTACAGTCTGTTCAAACGCAACCATTTTTTCTTCTGGTCCTTTTAACTATTTATTTTCTTTCCTAAAAGGCATATGCAACCAAACTTCACTAATGCGTTTCATGGAAGCAAAATTAATAGGTGGGAAAATGGAAGAAAATGACTATGTGCCAGCTGCTAAGGATAATCTGATCCTATTTATGACACTGTCTGCAAAACTACACAGACCCAAGCAGTGCAAAAAGAGCCTCTTTCACTGGAAAGTTTAGTTCTCAGCAAAATGAAATTGAGCAACAATGGAAAGAAATGTGTTAAATATCAGAGTTCCTATCATTAAGTGCTCTAAACATAATAAACTAAATATTTGGGACCAAACCCTCAACTGCTTTTAGGGCACCCATTTACACCAACTGAATATGCTTTCAAGACAGAAGGGACTGTAAAACCCCAAACAGCTGTCCCTGTGGACTTACCATCCTTGTGACACTAAAAGAAGGATGAGAAAACTCTGCCGAGTTACTTGGATGCAGCCTAGCTCAATATTAAGTGACAAAGCAGGCAGAACATTTTTGGAAGGTAGCCACCTACCTCCGCACACTTCCAGGCACCATTAAAGTTATTAAGAAATTACTGACCACGAGCTATTTGGGCACTCCAGGTTCTCCCCATGCCACAGCCCTTGAAGAACATAGCTGGTGATCCAATATTTACTTCAGCTAGTAACACCTCTGACTCCCCACGGGCAGGTTCTGCTCCTGCTCATGCACACATGTTAACTAGCTGGGAAAGACCACGCAGTGTGTCACTGGAGCAAGTGAGACAGATGCTCTCCTGCACAAGACTTTAGCCTAGCAGGTCTCTGCCACCTGGGAACTATTGCAGTCTGTCACACGTTTTGGCTAACGGATGCACCAGAGAACTCTAAACAAAGAAACCTGCACATCCAAATCTCAGCAGCATAAACAGGATGGCTCATTTTTTCAGTAAAGTTTGTTTTTGGTTTTTTTTAGCTAGAGAAAACATTGCTCCACTGAAATTTACAGGAAGACTTTTGCTGGCTGTAGTCAGAACGTAAGAGAAAGATTATATCAGCAGACTGATACAGCTAACAACCCGAGACTGAGTGGCACATGCCCTTAGAATATCACCTGATAAAGAGAGACAGGGGAAGCCTCAAAAACTTCCTTGAAAAGCCAAATGCTGTTTTCTAGCACTCTGTTTCCTCCCGAGAGGGCCAAACACACACTACTGCCTTGCTGTGACTGCAGACTAAGCACCAAATGACTTTTACTTTCAGTGAGGCACTCTCCATTCCCTTTCCCCAATCCTACCACTGTAAAGCAAGTCTCATAAAATCTATGCTCACATGCATCCCTGTTCATCAGCCTGACAACTAACACCCATCAGCTTCTCAGTGGGAAACCTGGGGTTTTATCTCTGAAAGGAACAGTAGGAGTTGAATGCTTACATGAGGAAAGGACTCTTCTCTCTGCTCCTAGGATTGCTTTAGCACTTAATCAAACAGGCATTTAATTTAAAAAACAGAAACTGAAGATGATGATGGGACCACCAACTAAAAGAAAGCTGAGAAACTTTTCTGAGCATTGCAGTTTTACTAATCCCACTTTGAAGAGGAAAAAAGCAGATGGAGGCTTTGCTTTCTCTGCAGTAATTAAGATCATTCAGTATGAAGTTGTTGAGATATTGTTTTTACCTTCCTTGTTCATTTGAATGAAAACAAAGTAAGCATTCTCACTGTGACACAGACTGTTCTTTATGAGAAGTACAACAGTATACTGCTCTACAGCGTATTACCCCTGTTAGTAAGCCAAGGTGTGTAAGTCTCACTGAATTTGTAACGTAGAGATGCACAGTTCAGTTTTGGATATAGAGCTCTATTCTCTACTACAAATAGTACACATTGAACAGAAAAATAAATCAAAGGAATGGGGGCTGCATTTAGCTTGTTTTTGTGAAGCATCCAGGACACTTTACAGGTGTTAAGAATACCTCACGCATGTATTCCTATGAACAAATTGTGGTTTATTGTGGTAAGTTTTTGAGAACCTCCTTGTAACTGATCAGAAATGCACTTTGAGGCCCTAATATTCTGAAAAATATGTCTGTAAAATTAACATAATGAATTCCAAAATTGGTTCACTGACTCCAGAGAAAGTACACTCCATTTACAAGCATCTTTCTTTTTCTAGAAATCATTTCTGCAAACTCCACTGCTGCCTTTTTTTTTTTCTTTTTCCCTTTTTTTTTTTTCCCTTGAATATGATTACTGGTAATATTTCTGCAAGCCAGTCTGGAAAAAAAAAAAGGTTTTAAAGTACAGTCAGATTTTAAAGATTTAACTCTTAGGAATAATGAATACTTATACAGCAATAATACTACAGCAAGAAAACCTTTTAAAACAACTATATCATTACTTCTACAGCCCCTCACAAGCAAAGCCAGCTGTGTGAGACTGCTACAGTAAGTGCCAAATGTGATTTTTTTTTTTTTTAATAAGGTGAACACCTGCCCATTAAGGATAAAATGGAAACGAAAAAAACGTATTTCATACCACATAGCTAACCACAGCTATCAATTTGTAGTAACAATTAGTTTTTAAACAGAGCGAAATACAAACCAGCAACCTAGAACAGAAGGCTCTTTAAGGATATTAAATGTTACTCACATTGAACACTTTAACATCTTTCCTACTTCTTATTTCTTCAACAAGATCCAGTGGCTTTCCCTTAGGTATTGGAATAGTTCCAAGCACCATGGTCCCTGAGCCAGTCAGCGTTTGACGAACAGCTTGAATAAAAGCCTGGCTGAAGAGTTCCATTTTACCAATCTCATCTATCACACAAATTTTCTTCTCTGCATCACTACCATGGTTTACCTGTGGAAAAGTGCATCAGGAGACTGTAAGCAACACAACTTAGAACAAGCAACAGAAATAATTTCTGTGCTAATAAAAGAAATACCTCCAAAAGAAATCAATTCAGTTGTAATACTGGGGAAAGTGGAAGAGTCAAAGCTGCTGCTGGTAACTGACAGACTTATAAATCTACCGATTCTATTTCGGCACAGATTTTTGGAAAGACAAAAATATATGTACAGCATAAATACCAACTACAATAGGAAATATCCATAATACCAGTTTTCCTCCAAAGCAGAATTCTCATAATGGTCCCTTATGAACTACTTAACTATTAAGAACTGCACTTTGCCTACTAGTAGCTCTCAATCAATCTGAGGGACACCAATTTTTCAAAACTTCACTCTTCCCATCAAATTATGCATTTAGAATAGATAAATATCCACACAATACTAGTAGTAAAAAAATAATAAAAAATACTTGCATTAAATCTAGATTTGGAAGTTTCTCCTCTTGTAGCTGGGTCAAAGGAGGGTCAAAATAACATTTCTCTCAGAACAACTAACTTTCTTCAAAAACATCTGGATAACAATCAAGCCATTTCCAAGCCTCTCACATCAGAACAGTCATCTTCCACCTCTTTGTTGAGATACAGCTTATTCTATAGTCCTAGTCATCCCCCTGGATCGTAAGAGAGGCACGATACTAACAATTAACTACATTTGTGGTTTGTTTGCTTGTTTTCATGAAGTGAATACTGTGCCAAACAGTACTGTGCTGCAGACTGGTGTGAGCAGCAGGGAATTCTAGGGGACAACATGGGTGATTGCCACTGAGGGAAAGACAACTCAGAAAGCAAAGGAACTCTTCAACACAAAAGGAAGTGCACTGCCTACCCTCTCTTGGTAGAGGTAACTAAGAACTGTACTCCCTTGTTTACAGAAGTGAGGAGGAAATCAACTCAAGTCAAAACACCACTGTAGATCCATGAATATATACCAATACCAGCTATATTATACAGAACCTAAAAAAAAAAAGGAAAAAAAAATCAAAATGTTTTCCCCTGTGAAGGCAAAGTATTTGCTTCTGGGAAAGTAGAAGAACCATATAACAAGCATCCTAAAATCTTTTCAAGCTAAGTGCCTGCTGAGTAGCTCTTTTATCTAAAATCCTTTCATAAATCAGTGAGCTAAAAAGCCAATACTAGTCACTAGGTCACACACTGAGAAACAGAGCATTTTGCTTTGAAAAAAATCTTCAGTCCTGCCTGGTAAAGTTTCCAGAACCAGAGAGATCATCCATTGTAGGATCTGCCCCTGTTCTCACTGGAGTGAATGAGATCCAAGCCTTAAGAGATGAAGCTGTCCTCAACACTAAATGGGCACATGCCCACTCAGTGCTACTCTCTGATCAGGCCATACCTATGACTCTCCTGCCCTCATTCTTCATTTGTCTCTTCTTGTTTCAGTCCTATCATCTTCCTCACTCTCCTCCTCTCCCATTTTGTGCCGCCTACATGCATGACCACATTCCCACAAAACTGATTAACAGCATTTTCAACGAGAACAGGGTCATGCACTGTCTGACCCTGCTGGCTCCTTTTCTTCTTCTCTTCACTCTCTTGTACTTGCAGAAAGCTACACAACAATCAGAAAAATTCAACCCTGCTAACACCCTTCTAGCAAGATCTCTCCTGGACATTAATGCAGCAGTAAAAAGATTCAGAGTACAGTACTGGCTTAATGAAGTCTTTTTTAGTAAACTACCCTTCTATTTACTGACATAGTAAATCAAGTTACAGTGAAATTAAACATAGAAAAACCTTCCCAATTTATTCATATTTCCTTTCTCCGTTGCCCCCAATGTCTTTGCTTCCCTACTCTCAGACTTCAATGTTCCTTAACAAAACAAGAATCAGATCCTCAATCTCAATTTAGCTCCTTACACCTCTTTGTTTTTCTTTTGTTCTTTCAAAGTTCATTAGGAAGTCCCTTCTTCCTTGGCCCCTTGAGCTTTGGCAGTGTAGAAAAATCACAACAGGATTTTTTTAGTAGTACAGTTCAGCAGCTGCTGCACCCTGTTTGTGATGGGTTATTGCCCAAATCAGATCTGTTCTTGTTTAATTTTGGAGAGAGGAAGGATTGGAGTGAGGGAGAGGAAGGAGAAGGAAAAAGGCAGTAACAGAATGTTAGGAGAAGGATAGGAAAAAGACTGTGTGGAAAGTCTTGTCACAGTCAAAGCACTCCTTGCACAGCAGGCTAAATACCAAATTATCAGGCTGCTATTATCAGTTAAAACCTACCAGTCTGCACGTATACACTGGTAATCAAAAATAAGCACTGGATTCAAGAAACAAATGCGTCTACTGGAAGAATATGGGAATCAGAGCAAGATGGGAAAAAAGGCTGTAAAGAAGAGCAGCAGCAAAAACCTTTATTTTGGACATACTGACTCCACACAGTCCTGCACGGTAAGCCACCCATACCTTTTGTTTGCTTTGCAGTATAGAAGACAGTGGCATAGGAAAAAACACCCTGTTGGCTCTCTCTCAGGACAAGGAGGTCCTGTTCATAGGACAATGTCAGATCAAAAATGAGAGGGGTTTGCAATCTCTCCAACACCACAATAAGCAGAAAAGAACAAGTCAGATTTGCCCCTCCACCTTCCTGATCCTGAAGTCACTCAGAATCAGCAATACCCACGAAACAGGCCATTTATTAATATAAAAAACTAGTGCCTTCCAATAACATTGATTATCATAAAGCATCCATTTTTCATCCGCTTTCATAGAATACTCACATTTCTGAGCATAGGTAGAACCAACTGCTCAAATGAAACAAGGTCTACAACATACTGTCCAACCCGATATTCACGTCTTGAAGTAGAAGAATCAGAACTGAATTTGAAAAAGAGATACACAATTCCTTCTAAGTAATGAGTTGAGTAAGAATTCACTGCAGTCATTTCAAGTGGATTTACGAGAAGTTATCCTAGTAAGTCAAATACCCTTAATTCTTTTAAGAGAAGGAAAGAAACTCTGTGACCCATCCATTAAATCATATTGCAGATAGCATACTTTTAGATAATAACTATACCATAAGCTACTTTTACAACTATGTAAGTTCAAATTTGAACAGTATACAAAAGGACAATGGGATCTAAAAGCCAGCAGGTATATTTACACTGAAATGAAAATACATGCCTGCAGTTCAGATCTTTGAATTTAGTAATGTGACACTACAAACAGCATCACAGCAGTAGCCCAAATCTCAGTATGGACAAAACAGTCTTGGAAAAATACTCAGTCTGCATGTTCTCCATCACACTATTCTAGATGAACCTCCTTTATTAGCAGTATGCAAATTATTTAGATCAACTATGTCTGAATGAGGTGCTAACATCACACCTGGGTCTAGACTAAGTTTTGCACAAAGAGTGAAGAGCTAAGTCTAGTGAATCAGGAGAGGCTCTAAGCCCCTCCACACTTCAGAGGCCCTCTTAGTGGGGCTCTGAAACCCTTTTTTTCCTTAAAATTCACATGTGGGTTTTGTGGGTCAGCCAGTGGCTCCTTAAAACAATGTTACATGCAATTGCCCTTTTATTTTCCACTTCTGTGTCCATAAATTAGCTGGTGGAAACAAAAAGTCTTCCTCCATGCCTACAATTAAGCCACTTTGTATCCCAAAGAGACTTGGCCTCACAATAAAAGGCTCAGCAGTGCTTCCTCTCTATCTGGTGTAAAATAGGTGATAAGAGAGAATACCTTTCCCCAGCACATTTTCAGTATTTCACTATGCAGTACAGACACTGTGTACATACACAATACAGGTAACAGCCAGGACATGAGAACTGAACAACGAACCTGACCATGAAAGCCATACATGTGGTGGAAAACATTTTCTGCAGGAGCATTTAACATGCCAACAGACTGGAGCAGAAGCATAAAACAATAAGCCGCTAACAGTTATTAAAACCTCGGTACCTGACTCTAGATAAAGGTCCTCGCTTTCCAGACAAAGTGACAACATCGAATCCAGTTCTCCTGCCACATTCTCTAACTTCCTCTGTGTAAAATCCATCAATGGGAATGCCCGAGGATTTTAGAGCTTGAGTGACTTTCTGGATCAAAGTAGTCTTTCCAACCCCTAAAAATAAAGAGAAAACAGAAAGCACACAGGATTAATCTTCTTCTCCACTAAAAGCCCATTTTTAAACACCACAGTAATGACTCAGTTCAGCGAGAACATTGATTACTTTTTAAGTTTGCAATTTTTTTTTTTGAAATGGTAGGAAAGGAGAGAACAGAAATACCTTTTAAAGTTCATCTTGTACTGACATTGTAATGTTTTATTAGCCTTTAAGAAGCATGTCTACAGTGAAGTCACAACAGAACGGTAAAAATATCCCAGGCTACCACTAAACTTCTTAGGTAGTGTGCGGGCAGGCCACAAAGCTTGCCCCAAGGCAGGTAAATACATGACAGCCATACTGTTACACAACTGATACTCAAGCTAGCTGGAAGACTGACTGATTAATCTCCCTTTCTGCCACTGTTATTCACTACTTTTTAAGAACAGAGCTGAGTTCATCCCGCTGTTAAGATCACAAGGTCAAAATTGACTGCTATTACCAGGAGCCTAGCTGGTACAAAGGACACGCTACTTCTACTGATGTCCTAGAAGCACTCAGTGGCCCTGAGATACCAGGTCCCACATGGCAAAAAGTATTTCCAACAACAGAAACACGCTTCTTATGGTAATTGAAGCAAGAGAGGTTTTGACTAGATACAGGGAAAAGCTTTTTTATCCTGAGGACAATCAAGCCCTGGAACAGGTTGCCCTGAGGGGCTGTACAGTCACATCCCTTGAGGTTTTCAAGACTTGACTGGATAAAGCCTTGAGCAACGTGGTCTGGCCTCACAGCTGACCCTCTTTTACAGCTCCTGAAATCCCTTCTCACATGAATTATCCTGTGGTCCTACAATCCACTTTCTTACCCTAAGACAGATCCTTAAAACCTTTGCCACCACTAGCACAGTTTGATGTACTTTCTATAGTGTTAATGTTGGCCATGTTCCAGAAGTCCTCTCAGTTCCCACAAAGGAGCCACTTCTTCTCCTTTGCCATTGTACAAGTATTTCCCTTGACAATCTCCCTTTAAACTCAACTTTATTGCCTCTCTCAAAATTTAGTATTATCACTTCATTTTTAATCATTGTTGTCAAAAAAAAAATAATCAGAAGACAGAAAATATCCTGCAAAATAAACCTTTAAATTCTTGGAGACTAGGAATAGAAACCAAATGTGAAGTACCTAAAGATGCCAGCAGAAATAATTTCAACACTCACATACCAAATTCCTCCCTTAAATTTTAAGCAGATTTAGGAACTACTTTCTGAACAGTCAGTATCAATGGCAAAATATTCTGTGACTTCAAGGGCACCTTGCCAACAACAACAAACTTTTCAAAATTGAAGCCAAAGGGATTCCTGGCGTTTGGACAACAATAAAATGACAAATGTGGCACCATCAATATCTACCATCTTTCCAGGGCCTTGTCTCTATAAGCAAATTTAGACTAATTTGACTAAGTAGATTTGCTATCTGTAATTTGGTTACCTTCATTCAGTAAATTGCCAAAGAAAGCTAAAACTATTCAAACTAAGTTTAAGAAAGCTTAAAGTTATACATTTAGCTAATCAAACCAGTACACTCACTTTCAGTTAAATGAACACAGACAAGGCCTAGGCAGGCCTAACTTCTGCATCTCCTGGAGGACTGCCTTTCTTCAGTGGATGTTAAGACAGAATGAAGTGGGTGGAAGGTATTGCTAATGTCAGCCTAGTTGTAGCATTTTAAGTTAATTCCAGACAAGACAGGTGTCTGCAAAAGATGCACAAAATTTAGACCCACTGCTTTACTTCCAGACCACAGAAGAAAGCTTTGCAATCACAATAACTGGTTTATTTCTTTATCAACCTTATAGCTCATCCCTCATACTCTACACAACTCTACCTCCACAATAATCAGGTTCCCCTACCATGATAAACTACGCCACTGCCTCAATCAAGGCCTGCCCAGCTGAGATACCAATTGTTACCTAAAACTGAACATTACTTCGGTTGGAAGTGCTAAATCACTACAATTAAGTTACCGAAAAGATGCGCGCTCAGAAATTATTAATGGCTGCAGTTTAATTGAAGCAGGATTAGGTGTCCAGGAGTGGTTTCTTGTTTGGGTTTTTTTTTCCCCACAACACCGAACTGCAGAGCAGGAGCCAGGGACGATGCAGCAGCAGCATCTGGAAACGTACCCGACATGGGATTGGGCAGGCAGCTAAAAGGGACTTCCGCTAGAAACAAATTAATGAACGCAGCAGCTCAGACCTCAACAGGCAAGGCCCGGGAAGCGGACCAGCTACAGGCCTGCCCGCCGGCAGCTCAGGGGGCTCCCTCACA